CCCTGCTGGTTACCCCACTGGTTACCCTTGCTGGTTACCCACTGGTTACCCTACTGGTTGCCCCACTGGCTACCCTGCTGGTTAAACCGCTAGATACCCTACTGGTTACCCCACTGGTTACCCTGCTGGTTAAACCACTGGTTACCCTACTGGTTACCCCACTGGTTACTCTGCTGGTTAAACCACTGGTTACCCGACTGGTTACCCCACTGGGTTACCCTACTGGTTACCCAACCCTTGCTGGTTAAACCACTGGTTACCCTACTGGTTACCCCACTGGCTACCCTGCTGGTTAAACCGCTAGATACCCTACTGGTTACCCCACTGGTTACCCTGCTGGTTAAACCACTGGTTACCCTACTGGTTACCCCACTGGTTACTCTGCTGGTTAAACCACTGGTTACCCGACTGGTTACCCCACTGGTTTCCCTGCTGGTTACCCTACTGGTTAAACCACTGGTTACCCTACTGGTTACCCTACTGGTTACCCCACTGGTTAAACCACTGGTTACCCTGCTGGTTAAACCACTGGTTACCCTGCTGGTTAAACCACTGGTTACCCTACTGGTTACCCTGCTGGTTAAACCACTGGTTACCCTACTGGTTACCCTGCTGGTTACTCCACTGGTTAAACCACTGGTTACCCTGCTGGTTACCCTGCTGGTTACCCTGCTGGTTAAACCACTGGTTACCCTGCTGGTTACCCTACTGGTTAAACCACTGGTTACCCCACTGGCTACTCAACTGGTAAACCTACTGGTTACCCCACTGGTTACCCTACTGATTAAACCAACTGTTAAACCACTGGTTACCCCACTGGCTACTCAACTGGTTACCCCACTGAGTACCCCACTGGTTCCCCCACCAATTACCCTACTGGTTAAACCACTGGTTACCCTACTGGTTCCCCCACCAATTACCCTACTGGTTAAACCACTGGTAACCCTACTGGTTCCCCCACCAATTACCCTACTGTTAAACCACTGGCTACTCAACTGGTTACCCCACTGACTGACCCACTGGTAACCCTACTGGTTCCCCCACCAATTACCCTACTGTTAAACCACTGGTTACCCTACTGGTTACCCTACTGGTGACCCTGCTGGTTAAACCACTGGTTACCCTGCTGGTTAAACCACTGGTTACCCTGCTGGTTAAAGCACTGGTTACCCTACTGGTGACCTTGCTGGTTAAACCACTGGTTACCCTGCTGGTTAAACCACTGGTTACCCTACTGGTTACCCCACTGGCTACCCTGCTTGTTAAACCACTGGTTGCCCTACTGATTACCCCACTGGTTACCCTACTGGTTCCCCCACCAATTACCCAACTGTTAAACCACTGGTTACCCTACTGGTTACCCCACCAATTACCCTACTGGTTACCCCACCAATTACCCTACTGTTAAACCACTGGTTACCATACTTGTTTCCCCACCAATTACCCTACTGTTAAACCACTGGTTACCCCACTGGCTACTCAACTGGTTACCCCACTGACTACCCCACTGGTTCCCCCACCAATTACCCTACTGTTAAACCACTGGTTACCCTACTGGTTACCCTGCTGGCTACCCTGCTGGTTAAACCACTGGTTACCCTACTGGTTACCCTGCTGGTTAAACCACTGGTTACCCTACTGGTTACCCCACTGGCTACCCTGCTGGTTAAACCACTGGTTACCCGACTGGTTACCCTGCTGGTTAAACCACTGGTTACCCGACTGGTTACCCTGGTTAAACTGGTTACCCCACTGGCTACCCTGCTGGTTAAACCACTGGTTACCCGCCACTACTGGTTACCCTACTGGTTACCCTACTGGTTACCCAACTGGCTACCCTGCTGGTTAAACCACTGGTTACCCTAGTGGTTACCCCGGCTACCCAACTCCGGCGGTTACCCTACTGGTTAAACCACTGGTTACCCTACTGGTTACCCCACCGGTTACCCTGTTGGGTACCCAACTGGTTTCAGATGTGACACATTGAGTCAAAAATAACCAGGTTGTAGGCCTTCTTACAACAATCATCAACCTTATTTTTCTTTTTTGGATGAACTAACCCACTTGCTATAATGCCTATCTGCAGTGGTCAGATCTGTACACAGAAAAGTACTTGGATAAAATTTTGCCATACACACAAGAGGTACAGGTGTATCACTTGAAGCCCTGCTCTGGCTTGCTCTGACCAAGGATCTCACCAGGGAGACAACTATTGATACTGGTGGCTTGCTCTGACCAAGGATCTCACCAGGGAGACAACTATTGATACTGGTGGTTTGCTCTGACCAAGGATCTCACCAGGGAGACAACTATTGATACTGGTGGTTTGCTCTGACCAAGGATCTCACCAGGGAGGCAACAAGAGGTACTGGTGGTTTGCTCTGACCAAGGATCTCACCAGGGGACAACTATTCATACTGGTGGTTTGCTCTGACCAAGGATCTCACCAGGGAGACAACTATTGATACTGGTGGTTTGCTCTGACCAAGGATCTCACCAGGGAGACAACTATTCATACTGGTGGTTTGCTCTGACCAAGGATCTCACCAGGGGACAACTATTGATACTGGTGGTTTGCTCTGACCAAGGATCTCACCAGGGAGACAACTATTGATACTGGTGGTTTGCTCTGACCAAGGATCTCACCAGGGGGAGACAACTATTGATACTGGTGGTTTGCTCTGACCAAGGATCTCACCAGGGGACAACTATTCATACTGGTGGTTTGCTCTGACCAAGGATCTCACCAGGGAGACAACTATTGATACTGGTGGTTTGCTCTGACCAAGGATCTCACCAGGGAGACAACTATTATTCATACTGGTGGTTTGCTCTGACCAAGGATCTCACCAGGGGACAACTATTGATACTGGTGGTTTGCTCTGACCAAGGATCTCACCAGGGAGGCAACTATTCATACTGGTGGTTTGCTCTGACCAAGGATCTCACCAGGAGGCAACTAGGATACTGGTGGTTTGCTCTGACCAAGGATCTCACCAGGGGAGGCAACAAGGGATACTGGTGGTTTGCTCTGACCAAGGATCTCACCAGGGGACAACTATTGATACTGGTGGTTTGCTCTGACCAAGGATCTCACCAGGGAGGCAACAAGGGGTACTGGTGGTTTGCTCTGACCAAGGATCTCACCAGGGGACAACTATTGATACTGGTGGTTTGCTCTGACCAAGGATCTCACCAGGGAGACAACTATTGATACTGGTGGTTTGCTCTGACCAAGGATCTCACCAGGGACAACTAAAGGATACTGGTGGTTTGCTCTGACCAAGGATCTCACCAGGAGGCAACTATTGATACTGGTGGTTTGCTCTGACCAAGGATCTCACCAGGGAGGCAACTTTTGATACTGGTGGTTTGCTCTGACCAAGGATCTCACCAGGGAGACAACTATTGATACTGGTGGTTTGCTCTGACCAAGGATCTCACCAGGGAGACAAATATTGATACTGGTGGTTTGCTCTGACCAAGGATCTCACCAGGGAGGCAACTATTGATACTGGTGGTTTGCTCTGACCAAGGATCTCACCAGGGAGGCAACAAGGGGTACTGGTGGTTTGCTCTGACCAAGGATCTCACCAGGGGGACAACTAATGACACTGGTGGTTTGCTCTGACCAAGGATCTCACCAGGGAGGCAACAAGGGGTACTGGTGGTTTGCTCTGACCAAGGATCTCACCAGGGAGGCAACAAGGGGTACTGGTGGTTTGCTCTGACCAAGGATCTCACCAGGGAGGCAACAAGGGGTACTGGTGGTTTGCTCTGACCAAGGATCTCACCAGGGAGGCAACAAGGGGTACTGGTGGTTTGCTCTGACCAAGGATCTCACCAGGGGGACAACAAGGATACTGGTGGTTTGCTCTGACCAAGGATCTCACCAGGGAGGCAACAAGGGGTACTGTTGGCCTGTTCTGACCAAGGATCTCACCAGGGAGGCAACAAGGGGTACTGGTGGTTTGCTCTGACCAAGGATCACACCAGGTTGTCGTTGTACAAAGCGATCTTATTGCTAAGGAGACCGTAACTCCCATACCTTAACATAGTCTTTCGACAGACTCAAAGCTAAGGTTGTTTTGTATAATGGCAATAATATTTCAATACAGTCGAACCTAGTTTATCCTGACATTTTGGTTACACTCGGAAATCGTCCGGATAGCGAGGCGTCCGGTTAACTGGATCAAACAAGCAAAACGTATTGACAATGAATATTGAAAATTTATTCATTTACAATACAATTACAATGTAGTTAATCCTAATCCTAATTAACTTCGTTACTGATGAGATGTTCTCACATCTGCCAAATCCTCATTTGGAACTGAAGTGACCCACGTCCCTAGTGTTTTGATGGGTAGTTAATCAATTCACATCAAACACCTGCCGAGAGATTAAAAATGAATACACTTAGTCGTGCAGTAAACATACACATGCACATGCACATGCGTACAGAGCTTTCTGTCCGGATAACAGGATCATTTTTCAATGGAAATCTATGGGAATGGTTTGAAAATTCTCCGTCCGGGTCCGGCTAAGCGAGTACAATTACTGAATATAAGATTTGTTTCGCCTAAAAATCGTCTGGAAGGTGGGGTTTCCGGATATACGGGATCCGAGTAAACGGGGTTCGACTGTATATAGTTAATACAGTCAGGCTGTGTTAGTTTGGTCCCCGATAATCCGATTCTGAACAGACTCAAGATGTAACCAAACTTGTTTACCATATAAACACATCAATTGACGTTTCACTGTCAGAATATTTTTTATGATAAACGGCCCTGACTATATAATGTATAGCCTTCTAAGATTATAGATGTACTACAAAATAACACGAGTTACAATGAAACCCTTTTCTACACTGGATGATTTCTTCATAATTTGGTATTTGTGCAAAGTTTAGCAAAGGAATGTTGCCATGGTGTTGGCATCTTAAGCACACTGGATTGGGTTATTGAGATAGAACTCAACAAATACAAAACTGAGAATCTTACCCTTGGTGTGAACATGTGAAGTAATCCATCTGTTGATCCTCTCAGAGTTATCCCCCTTCCGAAGAAGATGATAAGCACCACATACGGAAATATTGCTGTGAAATACACGACCTGGAACACACAACATAGGGAAATATTATCTGAAATACCCCACCAGCTATTAGTGTGCATAAAAGATTGAAATATTTCTGGGCAATACATGACTTACAGCAGACTGTATAGGGAAATATTTCTGGGAAACACACTAACTAAAATAGACAGCACAAGAAAATATATTGCTGAGAAACACACTACCTAAAATACATGACAGTGGGAAATGTTGCTGAGAAATACACTACCTAAAAATACATGACACTGGGCAATGTTGCTGAGAAATACACTACCTAAAAATACATGACAATGGGCAATGTGGCTGAGAAATACACTACCTAAATATACATGACACTGGGTAATGTTGCTGAGAAATACACTACCTAAAATACATGACTGTGGGAAATGTTGCTGAGAAACACACTACTTAAAATACATGCCAGTGTGAATTGTTGCTGAGAAACACACTACCTACAATACATGACATTGGGAAATGTTGCTGAGAAATACTCTACCTACAATACATGACTGTGGGAAATGTTGCTGAGAGGTATAGGACTGCATGGTATTACCATTATACTGCAATATGCTTTTTTCTCAAATGATACACATTGCAATACTGTTTGTGTTCTGGAATATTTGGTTAAAAACATTTAACAAGTATTGTTACTCTTTGTATTGTTTCCCAAAATTGTACTGACAAACTTGATGTCAGAATGTAATGTTGAATAGGACCTTTATAGGGTGAGGATTTCAAACCGGAACTGATATTGCCAAGTGTATTTGAAAATTAATAAATATTATGTTATGAGAGTGTTTTTTTTTGTAATTTGTAATATCACATTGATTAAGTGATAGTTATTATGGGTCACAATGTTTTAAGTTTTGAGTGTGTCTTTTGGCTCGCATCTCGCATCATATATGGTCAATGGCAATAGTATTTTTAGCGGTACGCCTTTTTTATAGCACTTCAGAGTTGCCTCCCTTATCTGGCTCTATTTTGTTTTGACTTCCGGTCGTATGTTCGAGAAAATCGCCTAATGTTCTGAGAGAATAATGAGGGAGCCCAGCTTGGCTAGAATGCTTGAGAACTGAGTAAGAGCAACAAGAAGACAAAGTCATCAATATCCCCCGCAATGGCAAAATACTCTTCATGATTATGTCTAAGAGTTATGATTATGTCTACGAGTTATGATTATGTCAAATATTTAGGTGTGTATATAGAAAAGTGGAAGGAGAGTATTGAAAGGTTTTTAAAGATCTGCTCCAGAAAGGAGCACTATTACCAATTTCAGTCTATGTCAAACTTGTTGCCATGGAAATGCCAAAATATTTTATTCAGAAATCCAAAACTACCAAAAGGCACCAGTACACCACCAGATCTATGTATGTGCCAAGTTCGGAGAAGAAACATTGAACGGTTTTAGAGTTCTGGGTGCCGTTGTACAAAACAACCTTAGCGCTAAGGCTACCTTAAGCCTATGTTAAAGTATGGGAGTTACGGTCACCTTAGCACAAGATCGCTTTGTACAATGGCACCCTGTTCCGGAAAAGTGCACTACCACTAATTTCAGTCTAAGTCGAACTTGTTGCCATGGAAATGCCAAAAATATTTTATTCAGAATTCCAAAACTACCAAAAGGCACCAGTACACCACCAGACCAATCTATGTGCCAAGTTTGGTAGAGAAATAGTGAACAGTTTTAGAGTTCAGCTCGGTGAAAACCAGTGAACTCAAACTTGTTGCCAATTTCAGTCTAAACAGTCAAACTTGTTGCCACGGAAAAGCCAAAATAGTATTTTATTCAGAGTTCCTAAAACTACCAAAAGGCACCAGTACTACCAAAAGGCACCAGTACCCAGATCTATCTATCTTTGCCAAGTTTGGTGAAGAAATAGTGAAACTTGTTGCCACGGTTTTTAAAGTTCTGCTCCAAAAGGCAAAAACAGAATGTATCTGCCAAGTTTGGTGACGAAATAGTGAACGGTTTTAAAAGTTCTGCTCTGAAAAACAAATGACGGACGGGCGGACGACGACGCCTTGACGGATGCGACGGAGTCCATTTTAATACCCCCTGCAAAACGCGTTGCGGGGGATAATATAAAGGCTGGTTGTTACGTAGTGCGACGGGACTTTTCACATGACTGGATTTATGCGCATCTGTCTGCCACCGTCAAGTTTATCAACATTCAAGACTGACTGTGCATGCCTATTCGTCTACTGTCATTGTAAACAACCTTCAATCAGTTTTTTCTACCGATCCTCATCTTCCCTGAAATCAGTAGTTCTGGAGTACCTCCAATTGCATGTTTTTCTCTTACTGGTACTAAACATTACTTTTTATAAACAAGTGTGCAAGGATCTGTCTATAAATAGTACCCAGTGTCATACCACTATTTGGGAATACTGTCATTTCCATATATTTTCTAGGTTCTGTCTAGAACCAGCTATCATATTTCCAAAGCATCCATACACAACAGGTGTTTGTGGAGGGGTATGTAGAACTTGCTCATCACACAGGGTCACTACATACAACAGGTGCTTGTGCTGGGATATCTAGGACCTGCTCATCACACAGGGTGACTACATACAACAGGTGCTTGTGCTGGGATATCTAGGACCTGCTCATCACACAGGGTCAAAATATTACAACAGGTGCTTGTGGAGGGACATCTAGAATTTGTTCATCACACAGGGTCACTACTTACAGCAGGTGCCAGTTGTGGGATAAACAGAATTGAATATTTTGCAAACTTTAGTTTAGAACAGTTGCCTGAAATAAGTCACTATATTTACACTAGTAAGTCTAAATTTTTAATGGTAAGTATAGATAAGACACACCTGCACTTAATTTACATATACGTAACACCGACATACGTCAGAGTAGGCAGGGACAATCTGACAGAGAGATTGTACATTGTGTCAGCAAGCTATTAATCCATTAAAAGCTGTTGTATTGCAAATGGTTAATTAACTATTCTAACCTATATTCTATAACATACCAGAACATTTTTTCTTAAATTGAGGTGCTGCATCAAGTAACATCTAGAGCAGCAAAATTTCGCATTTGACTGAATTATCATGCTTTTTTTGTCACGTGAATATTAGGCCCTAATAAATTAATTCTTTGATGTTCATCCATGTCTGCCTCAGTACCAAGACACTCGCCACAGGGTGAAGCCATATTTTCTCTTCTTTCACACTTGCTTAAATACACCACATAGGTCTACATAATCCTTAAACATTAACAGTTATGACTTCAACAGTTTGTCTAAAAATAAAAGTATTAAAAGACCACAAAAAGCAAAGCTCACAAATACAGTTATTAATTTCAAAAGTAAGTTATAATAAATGTACCACCAGATAGTATAGCAGGCTTAATCATTGGTATAGTATGGAATATTAATAGATAGGGTTGACCCTAATTGGTTTCTGTGTCAGAAAACCCATCATGGATCAAGATATCAAACATCTGCCAGTGTATTAATACCTGCTGAAGATCAGGAATCAGCTTACCTTTCCTGAAGACTTAATTCCCTTGCAGATACAGCAATAGACCACAATCCATGAGAATATCAGACACAACAGCATCTTCCATTTGACGCCATCTGCATCATCAATTCCTGATGATATGTCAAGGGCGTTGCGGTACCAGAAGTATGAGGTCGACCCCCCTATCTTGCACTCTGGGACGATGACGCTAACATTGGGGGCAGTTGTGATGGAGGGACACGAAGACCAGGGGAGGGGGCTCTGGAAGGAGTGGAACAGGTAATAGAAACACCACATGATGATGGCGTTGTAGTATAGGGCCACCATGAAGGACGTCACCGCACTGGCGATGCCGACACCACCCATGAGAGGGTGGATCTCGTTCCATACTCCCATGCTGCCTTGACGCAGCTTCTGTCCAATGGCCAACTCGAGGTACAACAGTGGCATGCCCTCCACAAACAGCATGACAAAGTAGGGGATGAGAAATGCTCCTGAAACACAAGGCAATGCTGTGAGTTGTGGGACAAAAATAATGGTAGCCATTATAAAACTTTACTTCAAGGTTATGATCATATTATACTGGCGATTCCATAACCAAACGTCACCAGTATCACATGATTGTCTCTCTAAGGATTCCAGAACCAAACGTCACCAGTATCATATGATTGTCTCTCTAGGAGATTCCAGAACCAAACGTCTACCAGTATCATATGATTGTCTCTCTAGGAGATTCAAGAACCAAACACTACCAGTATCATATGATTGTCTCTCTAGGAGATTCCAGAACCAAATACTACCAGTATCATATGATTGTCTCATTTGGAGATTCCAGAACCAAACACTACCAGTATCATATGATTGTCTGTTTTGGAGATTCCAGTACCAAACACTACCAGTATCATATGATTGTCTCTTTTGGAGATTCCAGTACCAAACACTACCAGGATCATATGATTGTCTCTTTTGGAGATTCCAGTACCAAACACTACCAGGATCATATGATTGTCTCTTTAGGAGATTCAAGAACCAAACACTACCAGTATCATATGATTGTCTCATTTGGAGATTCCAGAACCAAACACTACCAGTATCATATGATTGTCTCATTTGGAGATTCCAGAACCAAACACTACCAGTATCATATGATTGTCTCTTTTGGAGATTCCAGAACCAAACACTACCAGTATCATATGATTGTCTCTTTTGGAGATTCCAGAACCAAACACTACCAGTATCATATGACTGTCTCATTTGGAGATTCCAGAACCAAACACTACCAGTATCATATGATTGTCTCTTTTGGAGATTCCAGTACCAAACACTACCAGTATCATATGATTGTCTCTTTTGGAGATTCCAGTACCAAACACTACCAGGATCATATGATTGTCTCTTTTGGAGATTCCAGCACCAAACATCACCAGTATCATATGATTGTCTCTTTTGGAGATTCCAGTACCAAACACTACCAGTATCATATGATTGTCTCTTTTGGACATTCCAGCACCAAACATCACCAGTATCATATCATGGTCTCCTTTGGAGATTCCGATACCAAACATTATCATACAATATTTTAACCCTGAGGGGATTCCAGTTTGGTCTTGAGTAACCAAAGTTTGTTGAAAAATGTATGGTTGGACAAACTTGGTGGCATGGTTGAAATCATATCATCATATCTTAACTGGGGATCAGTGCTCACAAGCTCTTTCACTTCATGGTTTATCTGGTGGAACCTTGGAAGACAGCTGAGTGTGGCATTAAACAGATAACATTAGGTACAACAAAAAACTGTCAGCTTTCTGAATGAGTGCCCCTGGTAGGCAAACTGGAATAAGAAAAACATGATACATTGTATTTTTAAAAATTTGATTCATTCTAATGATTGTATTGTCATATATCTTATATGAGGAATTTTTATTGTCATTTGATGCAAGCTTGGTGTCGAATATTGTCCTCTAACCAGGTCTAGTCAATCCCTCTATAGTTTGTATTAAACTGATTAAATTGTGATGGAATAACTTCGTCACTTTCAGGTTTTATATGCCAGACTGAATGTACAAATTCACTCTAACATATCGTTCCCATTCATCAACTTCATTAAGTATTTATGCTTATACTGTAACTATCACTATGTATGCTTGTGTTTTATATGACTGACAACAAAATACTTCAACTTCACATTACAAATTACTACATTTCATTACAACTTGTATACGTCCCTACACTCCACGCCATCCCATTCTTCTACTGATGTGTCCTGTCATCCATGTTGTTTGACATGCATGCTGCTGGTCATATGACCAATAGGCCAGACAGCTGTGCACAACTATACCAATATTCACTGGGGTTTTATCAAAGGTGAGTCAGTAATGACAGCGATGAGCAAAACAATGATTTTTCTAAAACCAGCACAGACATCAGCTTCATAATAGGATCAGAGTTAGAAGGATATTTGCCAAAAGTCTTGAAATCCAACACTTATTATTTATTGTCCCAAGTTGATGATATATTTGAACTTGCTCTATGTCCATGTGGGGACCACCCCCGTGTCTGTCCCAGCACCAGAGAGGATGATACAGATGCCAGCTCTGTAAGCCCGCTGGAGTAGAGAGGGTCTCTAGTATAGTTCATATACTGAGGGAAACAAATAAGGGAAACACCACTTCATATCAGTGTTCCTTTATTTATTCTCAGATTTCCTCCTACAATGCTATTCAAAGCTGGTGATGAAAATTGGAAAATATTAAAGGAACGCTTGAATTTTTCTATGTTCCTTTATTCGTTTTCTCTCAGTATACATATCATTTACTTTTCTCTCTGTTTTGAAATGCACACATGACCCTGAGGTAGGATGTAAAATCAACACTTCCAAATACACAACAGATATATCATGGAGTAATAAAGTTCATCATTATTTATTACCACAAAATGTGATGGAGTAGGATTCAGGTATTAGGAAAATATAAATATAAAATATAAGTTTCATCATTATCAGTCATAGCTTAGAGAAAGACACCAGTCTAAGGTAATAGAAACCCATCTCAAAGATATACTATCAAAAAGTGTATACATACTACCTCTGCATAGCTTAGCAGATGTTTCTAGATACATGTTAGCCTGAGGTGACAAGAACACACTCTGAGACACACTTTTTAGTAAGACAAAAGTCATGTCCACATAGTTTAAGAAATTACCTTGAACTATTTTATAAAGTAACCCTGACATCACCTATATTAGAATGACATTAAGCTAACACTTAAACTTAGGCTCTTTAAGATTCTGCCCCAGTGCAAGCACGTCTATCATAATATCATAATCTCCTTCAAAGCATCCCGTAAATGTGTCAACCAGTTTAGTGTCAGTTCAGTTGGACAGATAGATTAAGGACTCCCCACTGTCTGGTCATTTCATTTATTGTAGGGCAGACTAATTATGTAGCAATAGCCAATAATATTCTTCCTTTGTTTGAAGTTTGAGTGAAATAGATAGAAAATGTTGATGTTAGGCAGTAGGGTGTACACTCCCACAGCAAGGTCAGCTCTAGCCCTCAGTCCAGAGGGGTTGATGATTATTATGGAGAAGCATGTACAATGTGAATGACACTAACCCACCCCACCCCCCAACCCACCCTAAAATTTATGTACAAAGTAAGTGACCCTTCCTATAATTTTTAAGCATAACTTTTAAATATCATTATGTACAAATTTACTCACCCCTCTGATGTACAAAATTGCTGACCTCCCTACCTCCCTGGAACTAAATGGGTGACACCCCCACCCTTAAAATTATCATCACCTCCCCTTGTCATAAATTATGAACTGTCCCTTACATCATGAGGGTGGATCTACCCCAAACAGGATATCATGACCACTGTGTCCAGTGGCTTCTTATGGCAGGCATGTGTTGCCTAAGACCAATTCTTATCTTGATCTTCATCCCGATTAGAACTATGATAATCAATAATAGAAACTATCCCATGTGTTTAGCAAGAATATTTGATGCTTACATGATACAAGGCATAGAGTTGGTTTCCATAAAAGGAAGTCTTTTTTTCTACAGCTTTTTCCTCACAAAATATTTTTACAGGACAAACAGACAATTATTACTATTTGTAAAACCTTGTGGCGAAATAAAAAAAATTAAAGAATAATATATATCATGGTTCAAAATAATATTCAGATCATATCTATCTCTTCAAACCACAATTCAATTTCCTCGTAAATATTTTCAAAACGAAATCATCACGTTTAATAAAGACCCCCTGAATATATGCCTGAAATAGTGCTGAAATCTGCGTAAAAACAAACTACAAACTCACTCACTCACTGAACAATCGTCGGACGTCTCATACTTGTCATATGAACTTACATGGAAATAAAAGCTTGCAACAAATATGTACTATGCTCAATGCACATATGATTGTGTTAACAGGTGGAGGGGGTGATGTTACGTTATTATTGTCGTGTTGTAGCAATGCAGAAGACGCAATGCTGAATTATTAAGTAACTGAACAGTATTTCAGTATTTCCAAGTTTCCCAACATTCGCACCTGTCAACGGTTAACAACAATGAAATTTCCACGAAGCTGACCTAAATATTGAGGACAATATCCTCATTCCCCTCCGCTCCCCCTCCTATCAACTTGCCGCGAAATGTCCCATGTTTGTGACCACTGCGCGTATCCTTCCGTAACAGGCACACCGCGTGCTATGTGGCGATCATTCATACCACCAGTGTAGCTCACCAGCAACACACCACAAACAATAAATACATAAACACGTACATGTCTGCACGTGAATGCCAGAACGCGAAACATGATACCAGTGGCACGTGAGCCTGTCAGTTTCAAGGATGTTCATTTCGCGCGTTAACGTGGGTGTACACGTGCACTATGTGTGTGTGTGTGTGTGTGCACTTGCATCATCATCACTGACTCCCGGCGTCAGGTCAGGGAGGTATTGCAACCACGTGGCCGGGTGGGAGTCAGAACGACCTGGACCTAACTAACGTTTCAACAGCATTATAAAGAAGAGAAAACATATCTTACCTCCTCCATGCTTTTGGGTCAAATATGGAAATCTCCATACGTTTCCAAGTCCTACGGCATAACTGATTACCATGAAGAAGTACTGAATCTTGCTATCCCAGGCAGCTCTTGGGGGGTCGCTCTCCGCAACGATCGCAGGGGTCTCCATGGAATCTGCATTCAAAGGAGCCGTTAATTCAGGATTGTTTTCAATGTTTTCATCGTGTTTCTTCCCCATTTTGTAAGTTAGCTACGAGATCCTACTCTACCAAAGCACTGACTGGTGTACAATATAGCGAGGCGGGCGAGTCGACTTTCGCGGGGGTGTCACGCCAACAGAACTGTGATATTTGGTACATATGCATGTGGGGAAAAAACCTCAGGCTGTACTTAGTATCTACCTGTTACAAGTATAAAAAACCATTTCATGGCTGCAACTGTTCTTTACCCTACACGTGTGTTATGAAGTCCTTTAGTGAGCTATAGGACGTTGTCGCACACAGTGTATTCAACACGTTTGACATATATTCAACACCATTTATTTAACCAACTGACGCGTTTACTTGTGAAACTACATTCACATTCGGTCATGAGTTGACAATTCCGTCACGGATGGTGGCCACCGAGCTGAAATCCACTCATGGCCTCCGACCACAGTTGTTTTCCTCCCTTGCTATCTGCAGTGTCGCCATGCCAGCCCAGTGTATTTTGCATGCTGGCCAACCTGCCATCTGCCAGTCAGACAGCAAGGCGGGAGCCATCATCTAGGTTTCTCAGAGCCACTGCCTGCAATGGTCAACGGAAGTTCCAGCCGATACACAGGCGTCGACCTTGAACTTGGCAAATCAAATGACGTCGGTACCATGTACAGATTCACTAATCAGCTCAAAGTACAATGTCTCTTCTTCAAGAGAATCATAAATTTCTTAAAACAGTTCGGCATAGACTGTACAACACTATCCTTGGAGTGTCAATGGAGATGTAAGCGGGGCGTTTGAGTGAACTGATAAAGAACAACGAAAAGAAGGAAGACAGACAACCTTCTCGTCTCAGTCTTCAAAGAGTCATTCTTATTATTCCCCTGCAATTTATGACATAAAGGTGGCCGCACAGTTATTCTTATAATCACATTTGATTAGAGGCTGGTCACTTTGAAGTGTTGGGTAAGGAAAGTAAAGCTATCTCCTGCTGCCGGTTGAAGGTTTCATTGTCCACCAGTCTCATGACCACCCATTTGGACAACCAAAGAGATTTCATTGTCCATCAGTCTCGTCACCACTCATTTGGACAGGCGGCAGAGACTTCATAGTCTTCCCGTCTCAGGACCACCAATCTGGTCAGCCATGTGTCAGCCATCCAGAGACTTCATAGTCTTCCCGTCACATGACCACCCATTTGGACAGCCAGCAGAGATTTCATAGTCTTCCCGTCACAGGACCACCCATTTGGACAGCCGACAGAGACTTCATAATCTTCCCGTCCCAGAACCACCCATTTGGACAACCGGCAGAGACGTCATAATCCACCAGTCTTAGGACCACGCATTTGGACAGCCGGCAGAGACTTTATAGTCCACCAGTCTTAGGACCACCCATTTGGACAGCCGGCAGTGACTTCATAGTCCACCAGTCTTAGGACCACCCATTTGGACAGCCGGCAGAGACTTCATAGTCCACCAGTCTTAGGACCACCCATTTGGACAGCCGGCAGAGACGTCATAATCCACCAGTCTTAGGACCACCCATTTGGACAGCCGGCAGAGACTTTATAGTCCACCAGTCTTAGGACCACCCATTTGGACAGCCGGCAGTGACTTCATAGTCCACCAGTCTTAGGACCACCCATTTGGACAGCCGGCAGAGACTTCATAGTCCACCAGTCTTAGGACCACCCATTTGGACAGCCGGCAGAGACGTCATAATCCACCAGTCTTAGGACCACCCATTTGGACAGCCGGCAGAGACGTCATAGTCCACCAGTCTTAGGACCACCCATTTGGACAGCCGGCAGAGACGTCATAATCCACCAGTCTTAGGACCACCCATTTGGACAACCGGCAGAGACGTCATAGTCCACCAGTCTTAGGACCACTTAGGACCATTTGGACAGCCGGCAGAGACGTCATAATCCACCAGTCTCAGGACCACCCATTTTGGACAGCCGGCAGAGACGTCATAATCCACCAGTCTTAGGACCACCCATTTGGACAGAACTTCCGGCAGAGGACCACCCATTTGTCATAATCCACCAGTCTTAGGACCACCCATTTGGACAGCCGGCAGAGACGTCATCATAGTCTTAGGACCAGTCTTAGGGACGTCACCACCCATTTTGGACAGCCGGCAGAGACTTCATAGGCAGTAGACGTCATAGTCCACCAGTCTTAGGACCACCCATTTGGACAGCCGGCAGAGACGTCATAATCCACCAGTCTTAGGACCACCCATTTGGACAGCCGGCAGAGACGTCATAATCCACCAGTCTTAGGACCACGCATTTGGACAGCCGGCAGAGACGTCATAGTCCACCAGTCTTAGGACCACCCATTTGGACAGCCGGCAGAGACGTCATAATCCACCAGTCTTAGGACCACCCATTTGGACAGCAGGCAGAGACGTCATAGTCCACCAGTCTTAGGACCACCCATTTGGACAGCAGGCAGAGACGTCATAATCCACCAGTCTTAGGACCACGCATTTGGACAGCCGGCAGAGACGTCATAATCCACCAGTCTTAGGACCACCCATTTGGACAGCCGGCAGAGACGTCATAGTCCACCAGTCTTAGGACCACCCATTTGTACAGACGGCAGAGACTTCATAGTCCACCAGTCTTAGGACCACCCATTTGGACAGCAGGCACAGACGTCATAATCCACCAGTCTTAGGACCACGCATTTGGACTGCCGGCAAAGACTTCATAGTCCACCAGTCTTAGGACCACCCATTTGGACAGCCGGCAGAGACTTCATAGTCTTCCCGTCTCAGAACCACCCATTTGTACAGACGGCAGAGACTTTATAGTCCACCAGTCTTAGGACCACCCATTTGGACAGCAGGCAGAGACGTCATAGTCCACCAGTCTTAGGACCACCCATTTGGACAGCCGGCAGAGACTTCATAGTCCACCAGTCTTAGGACCACGCATTTGGACAGCCGGCAGAGACGTCATAGTCCACCAGCCTTCTCGTTTCAGTCTTCAATGAGTCATTCTTATTATTCCCCCGCAATTTATGACATAAAGGTGGCCGCACTGTTATTCTAATAATCACATTTGATTAGAGGCTGGTCACTTTGAAGTGTTGGGTAAGGAAAGTAAAGCTGTCTCCTGCTGCCGGTTGTAGGTTTCATTGTCCACCAGTCTCATGACCACCCATTTGGACAGCCGGCAGAGACTTCATTGTCTTCCCGTCTCAGGACCACCCCTTTCGACAGCTTACGGAGACTTTATTGTCCACAAATCACAAGACCACCCATTTGGACAGCCTACAGAGGCTTCATTGTCACGGGCTGTGACAGCGTACTTGGCCGTCACTCGTATTTTACATGCTTGTCCCGTATGAAGGGTTAGTATGGACGTGATGACTGCTCCGTCTCAGTCAGTTCAAGTCGATAGCACTGATCAAGTAAGAAACACATCATTAACGCCCCACCCACCAAAGAACGCTTTTGGAGAAATACACAGTGCAATAATCTGTATAGGCCAGGTTTGAAATCACCTCAGCGTGAGATGGATTATCCAAAATGTAAGGAGTAGGTCGTGTATTCAGAATGTTGCTGAGTTGTTCCACGAGGAAGGATTATCCTTATATAGCTTATTTCCCCTGACCTTTCAGACACTCACTCGAGCACAATTTAGTATTGTGGCTTTGTGTTCCTATCCATGTCCACACAGAACACACAGCCTGAGGTCACAGAGACTGGCACACACCTGCATTACATTTACCATATCAGGAGTTGATGGGGTAGGTTTACGTGTGTTGCCCCTTTGCCACATCTCATCCTGGTTGGTGCTGTTGCTGTGTGGTTAGCAACGTTGTTTCAAGCCGTTCCGGATGCTCCTATGCTCACAACTCATATTATACACTAAACTGATTCATATGCCAGCCCATCGCTTACCGCAGAAAGCGTATAACAAGCTTTACCACCTACACGAAATCGGCAAAAACACTCGGGCCTCATCAATAAAGAACTTACTATTCACCTATGGATTCGGCCTTGTATGGACTTCACAAACAGTGGGCGACTGTCATTCCTTTCTGAAAATATTTCGTACTCGCGCCACTGACATGTTCAAACAGGATTGGCATTCATGTGTTGAGGAGAGCTCAAGATACAACACATATCGCAATATAAAATCGATCTTTGAAACTGAAACCTATCTCCACAACATTAAACCTAAATCTCTGAGAAATACCCTTATATGATTCAGACTTGGTCTCAGTGAATTGGAAGTGAACAAAGGCAGACACCACGGCATCGAGAAATCAGCCCGACTTTGCAAAATATGTAACAATGGCGTTGAAAACGAGTACCACTTCATATATGTCTGCCCCATCTATGTTCAACTTAGATCTAAGTACTTACCTCATACAACTCTATGTCTATATATAGTTTTAAGAAGCTGCTATCCTGCAATAACCCCACAATCCAATTCCAAATTACTCTGTTTATACACCATGCTTTAATATTACGCAAAACATCCTATTGTTAACATCATTGTATTTTTGTTCTGCTTCAGAAATATATGTAACTCGAATGTATATGGGCCTATGGCCTTAAGTACAATAAAGCATTGAATTGAATTGAATATTATACACTAAATTCGGCTACTTGTCGCTATGAAGTCGTGTGCTCCTGTTCTGACCTTCCCCCAGTCGTGGGCATGGACCATGCTGATCATCTTAAATTACCCAAAATATTTCCCAAACCTTCTCCCCTTTGGTGAAGCATCATTGGTATACTGCCAATCATCTACAACAATCTTGCGGTAAACGGATGTCCCAACATAGTGATGATAGTCGGGGATGAAGAGTGTTTCTACTTTTTGAATGGAACGGGATGTCCCTTGTTAGTCATTAGATAGGTGGTGAGGGTATTTGTAGGTCCTTGACACAATATCATGTAGCTTATGTGTCCTTGCCTCCCATCATTTGACATGACACAGGAATATACATAGCTAAAGGAACCACTATGCTTCCTATAATCTGATTTCCCCCCACATGCGAATGAATGTAAACGAACCAAATTGTTTGATTAGATGGTGCTTAGAAACACCC